CACAGCAGGCGGGGCGGAGGGCCTTGAAGGTGTCACCACGCTCTCCAGCCTTTGCTGCCTGATGCTCCAGGGCCAGTGTACCCGGGCTCCTCGTTCATTCACAGCCCATGAAGTTCAAGTCTGAGGGGAAAATCACCGGAGTTTCCCCGGGGGAAACTTACTTCCACCCCAGTCCTGATTGTTAGCCCTCCCACCCGACACTGGCCTTCATTTTATGCTTCAACCTGTCTTCCTGAAGGCCTTACACATTCTAGGCTATGTGATGTGATGCTAAGGGTCCCCCCTGCCCTCCACGTGTGTGCGCACATGCACGCACACAGACACAGACACACACACACACACACACACACACACACATACACACACACGGTGAGCAAGACATAGCCAGGGTTTCCTGTGAGTGACAGGTCTTGTAGAAGATGCCCTGAAAGGCAGCTGGCACCCGTGTTGACCTTGGCCTCACAGACAAGCCATCTGAGAATTGCAGTGAACCTTCCCCTGCTCCCCTGGGTGTCAGGGCTACAAAGGTCAGGCCTAACGCAATCTTTTTTGAAAATACGTTTTAATTGATACCTGATTCCATCATCAAATAGATCCTGACCTTCAGATACAGCCTCCAGTGAGGTCAGGGCAAAACCCAGTTGTTTGTTTAGGGGGCAACGCCTGTGATGTGTGGTAGACCCACCTCTGATCAGTGGGACTCAGAGCCACTGAGCCTGACCGGTGACAAGCCTGAGGGACTCACATACCACCCTTTTCCAGGGGAAGGATACAGCTGTAGGAAGCTTTAGTTTCATTATTGGTTGTTTCATGCATGAGCTTTGAACTGCAGGGGAGGAGGGTGGGGATGATGGACTTCAGAAACAAACAGCCTCGTGCAGACCAGGAACTGCTCAGGAGATGCAGGGGTCTGGTAAACAGGCGATAGTAGAGATAACAAAGGAACAGAAGAATCCGGAAGTTAAGAAAGTTTAAAAAGGCAAAGATGTGAAAATCGGGAAGTTAGCTCTGAAGATAAGGCAGAGAAGCCAGTTGAGGAAAGGCAGTTGATAAAATGATAAAAGGACTGATAAAATGAAAATGCTACTTGCATTTGAGGGAAAAAGAAAGACGCATTCTATGCTCTGGAAATCCCAGCACAGAGTTTCAGGGCAGGCAAAGAGCCCACAGTTGCTGGCTGTACCCCAAACTGCCATCCCTTGTGCCTCTTGACTGTCCCGGGACCCTGCCAACCGAAGCTGGACTGCAGTCCTGTCTCCTCCAGCCTCTCTGTTCATTGATCAAAACTTAACTCCTATGGTGTCTCTATTCAATAACCTTGGGCTATAATGGGTTAAATAGTAAATCAAATGTGTTCCAATTCGCTCATTGACTCCTGTGTCACCTGTCTGGGAAAATTATCCATTAATGGCCACTTGTTGGCTGTTTGATGACCCCTGAATCATTTAATATCTCTGGGCCTCCATTTCCTTCCAATAAAGGAGGCGGGCTTAATATGTAAGGAAGAGGTGATACGTGAGTTGAGCCTTGGTGGGAAGATGGAAGGGGAGGGCTCCAGGGTGCCATTTGTAAGAGAAGGCAGGAGAGGAGGAAGGTTGTCTGGAGGAAATGAGTGTAGCGGGAGCACGGCATGGTGGGCTGTGAGCCAAGCGTAATTATTGCTGTGTCCTCAAGGGGTATGGCAGAGCCAGGCGGAGTGTCCCAGAGGAGCCTGGACTCCCCGCTGTGTTTATCAGTCATCCTGGTGGAAGTGGAGAGGTGGCTGCACTGATTAAATTCACTGATGACCCTAAATGCAGCAGGGGAGTGGATCCAGAAACAATGGATGGATTTATAAGGTGAGCAGTAGTATTAATCAGCTCATCTTCACCACAAGGGTGGCAGTCAGTGAATGACCTGGGGTTTGCCATGGGTAATGGCGGAGAGGCACACCTGAGGGAGAATGAGAACCAGCCCAGCTCCAAACTAGGAGGCTGTTATTCTGAAAATAATACAGGCCGCGAGCTCTGAAGTGGAGACTGAGTAATACGTTTAAAAGGAGCCTAAAATAAACTCTCATTGCTTGTCACAATTTCCCTCCCAGCGCTTTTGTGGGAGGCTCCTGGAGGGTCAAAGAATGTGACAGGCAGAGTGGGGAGTGACTTCTAAGGGAGGAAACTGAGACTTGGAGAGATTAGAGGTGACCGACGAGGTCAGGGGACAGCCTGGCACGCTCATCACCCCTCGGTCCCTTGCTCTGGTGACAAGAGAGCACCATGCCTTCTGATGACCTAGATGGAACCTGAGACGCCTTCTCAACACAGCTGTCTACATGGACTCTGCTTCCTTGGCTCATGAAATATAACCTTGTACCATCTCCAACAGCTGGACGTTGGCAGAGCCACGGCGAGAGCCGAGATCCCCTGACTGGTCTCTTGCTTCTTCCTCTCCCTGTAAATTCTCAGCTCTCTACAGTCAGCGCTGACAAGAATTCAAAACTCAAACCCTAAAACATCAGACCTGGCTCCTTAGCCAAGGTTGCCACCTTGCTCTTGATGTTAGTTTGACGTCCTTGGACAGCATCAAAAAAAGAAAAATCTCTGAAACTACGTGTGCAGCATTGTTGAGAAGCCACTTAGAAATATCAATAATTTGGGGCCAGTGAGTGTGGTGCCTTTGGGGGACAACCAAGCACTAAAAAAAAAAAAAAAATCCACCAAATGCAAGTAATGAAAATTAAGCTTCTGTCATAGGCATTTGATAAAAGTAATAACCTTGTTAAAAATTCCCTGGACAGATTTATGTTTCTTCTGTTGCTTTCCCTCTCGGTGAGCAGAGGGAATTTCTTTGTGGGGTGAAGCAGTGTTGAGCGAGGTCCTGTGTGCGCTAGGTCTGCGTCAGGTTGGAGCACCAGCCTGGGGATGCGGGGAGGAGGAAGCCTGGCCTTGACCTTTGGTCCCTTCTCAGTTCTGGTATCTTTGCCCGTCCCTCTCCCAGGAAGGCTCGTGCTGCTCCTCTGAGTCCCGGTGGGGTGGCGTCGGGGCCACACACACCACAAGGCTATGCTGCTCTGTCGAACGACTCTAGGCGCGCCTTTCCTCTTGGGAAACTCAGCAACTCAGCATGACCGGTCCCCTTGCCGACTCAGAACAGCTCTCCCTTTGTCAGACCTTTCCTCGTCCTTCCCAGCCTTCCATTGAAATCTCCCTGCCCTGTGTCTGCTCTGACTCACATGGACACGGGCCCACGGGTCACTGCCCAGGAATCTCCTGCAGACCCACCCACGAGCCTGAGTGACTGAATTAAATTATGGAAGACGTTAGCGTGTGCCTGAGCACCCCTCCTTGGGCACACGCCTCAGACGCTCACTGATTACCTTGTAGGACGCGTGAGCGTGACATTCAGGTGCTGGAACCACAGCGTTAGCAACCAGCAGCTGCTAAACAAGTCCCTCGTTTGTTCAGAACTTTGCAGCTTGCGCATCTGGGCTGGGGTGCTGCGGTCTGTCGGCCTGTTGGAATTCCATCTCTGCCACTTACTGGCCACGCAGTTAAGCAAATTGTCTAAACTTTCCAAACCTATTTTCTCACGTGTGAAAGAGCTTTGTGGACGGGATTTGTGAAGGCAGTACGTGTGAAGCACTTAGCACAGTGCTTGGAGGACAGTCAGTAATACAAGTTACTGGGTGTTGTTTTTATTTCATAATAACCTGTGAGGCGGGAGAGGAGGATGTTGCCTCCTTCATCCTGGGAACCCAAGGATGGAAGGAGAGAAGTGATTGTTCAAGGGTACGTAGCGAGTATGTGCCAAGCTGGCATTAAACCTGAGCTTTCCGTATGGAAGGCTCCAGAGTTCTTTCCATTAATGTGCGTCCTTTTAGCTCCTACACGACATGTCACCACGCATGTCTGCATCCACAGGGTGCATGGTTGTGGCACATACGTGAGATACACAAGTTGTTTTCTGACCGTCCCCTTCCCTCATAAAATGCCTCTGGGTGGCCAGATACCCAGACAATAGCAGACACACGGTATGATTTTCTGACCTCATGGTGCAAGGCCACATCTCCAGGTTACAGAATTGCCATTTGACGTAGAGTGAGAATGGAAGTTTGCCCCTTTGTTCAGAGCCGCCACCATCATCATCACCCTCCCCTGATCCCACAGACAGATATGATGATCCTATTTGCCAAATAAACTAGTCAGTTTAATCCCAAACAAAACCAGCTGCAGGACCAACACAGGAGCCAGAGTGACGCCTAGTCTTTCGGATCCTCTAGTCTCTTAGGCTGAGGGCCCAGGGGGTGGATCCAGGTTTTGTGGGCTCTGAAGCTTATTCAGTGTTGGAATTTTCTTTACGAAAAGAAACAAAAGTATGAATTCGTAATTAGGTGTGGAAAAATTACAGAAATGGAAACCAGATCAGTAATTGATGCTGGTCAGGGATGGAGGGGAGAGAGAGAGATGAATATGTTTATAAAAAGGGCCCTTGTGACAGACACAGGAAGGTACACGTGGGATAAAAGGGCACAGAGCTAAATGCACGCACAAACGAGTTCAGACTGGAGGAGTCTAAGATCAGTAGGTTGTGCCAATGCCAGTCTTCCGGTTGCGATATCATAGTGTTACAGTTTTGCAAGATGTTACTCTTGGGAGAAACTGGATGAAGGCTACCTGGGCGCTCTCTATGTTATTTCTTATAACTGCATGTGAATATACAATTATCTCTAAAAAGTTGAATGTAGAAAAATTAAACTAAGTAGAAACAGATAACCTGAAAAAAAAAAAAGGATACCAGGCTTTGGAAGGGCTGGTGCTAGTGAGAACCTTGAACATCGAGGCTTCACTGGCTTCATGGTAAATCCACCTCTGGTCACAAAGGCAGCAGACTGACCCCAGGTGAGGCACGTTAGAGAGGTGAAAGCATTTCAAGGCTGCCAAGTGAATGTGTACACTTTCCAGGAGGATCTGTCCTAACCGCGAGTAAGGCTGTTTGCTTTAAAAGAAACACAGGATACTCACCCACGTAAATGGGTTGACTCCACTCACTCCAGAGCCCCGTCTCTCTGCACACAGAGCTCATGGCTGCTCTCACTTGAATGGAATACTTGGAAATATCGTCAATTATGGCGATGAATGTGTCGGTCGTCACTTTTTCTGTCTACATGGGGGAGAAAATAGCATTATAAGAATCTCTGGACACACAATTTAAATTATGCCAGTGATCAGGATGGGAGGTCATGTGTAAGTAATGCGACTCTGTTCAGCGACCCACTGAAAATCAAGGGGACACATACTGAGTAGTTTATTCTTGACTGCTTCAGGGTGGGTGCACTGGCAGTCACCCTTTGGGGGAAAGCTACGTGGTAACCAAACAGAACAGGCAATTCTGAGATCTAGAGGACCCATCCAGGTCCAGCTGATATTTCCAGAGTGAAAGACCGGAGCAGCCAACAGTAGAACACACAACCCTCCTCATCTTGTCCCTGGATCTTCTGTAATCACCTGAGTAACAGCATCCCATGGTTTCTGTTATATTCAACAGGCACCGGCAAACTCCAGTTTATGGCCAGCCTGGTCTGCTGCCTGTTTTTGTAGGGACTGCAAGCTAAGAATGGCTTCTGTATTTTTCAGTGATTGAGAAAAATAAAAAGAATAATATTTCATGACACATGAAAGTTACATGAAATTGTAATTTCAGTGTCCCCTAGTACACTTCTACTGAAAGACAGTTAAATGCCCGTTTGCTTTTATCTACTGCAGAGCTGAGTAATTGTGACAAAAACACTATTTAGGCAAAGCCTAAAATATTTTCTCTCTGACCCTTTACAAAAAATGTTTGCTGATCCCAGATACAGTGTCTCGGTCCAAGCCGCGGGGTGAGGAGTGCGGGGTGAAGGACGCATTAAGAAACAGAAAGGGCAAGGACTTTGACTCTAGGAAGAAAGGGGCTTGAATCCTAGCTAGACCTCAACTAACTGCAGTCCAAGTTCCTTGAGCCTCAGTTTTCTCATATGTAAAATACAGATAATACCACCTAACTGATGGACTGTTGAGTAAAATGGAATTATCTTTGTAAAGCCCAGGCTTAAGGATATCTTGGGGTGAATCATATGAAAACTGCTAATACTCGACCCAGTTGCAATCTGCAAAAGCAGCAGTAGTGGGTAGCTCAACCTAATACTGCGTACTCGGTAAACGCTAGTTTTCCATAGGCAGCACAGAGTAACATTGTCTCGTGTTGGCTTGAGGCTGTTCCCCCCTCAAACAAGCCCTTCTGTATTCTCTGCTGGTCAGTGTCACCACCATCTGACTAATTCCCGCCGCCCCCAACCAGAGATGTGTCCTTAACGCCTACATCTTAGACTCTCCTGGATGAGTTTCTCCCTTCCTCGTCCCTGCTCCACAACCACTGCCCATTTTAGGTCTCATTATTTTTTTTTGCTTGGACCATTGCAGTAGCCATTAACTGGTATTTCTATGTCCACGAGTCCCCTCCTGACCCATACCCAGCTCTCAAGCTGCTACCAAAATGACTGTGCAATTTTGCGGGTGCGTTCAGTTTCCTCTGTTGAGTAAAACAGTTCAGTGGCTTTTTGGTTTTTTGTTTTGTTTTGTTATGTTTTTTTAATGAAGGTACTGGGGATTGAACCCAGGACCTCATGCATGCTAGGCATGTGCTCTGCCACTGAGATATAATCCACCCCCACTCCATGGCCATGGTTTTAAAAAGAGAAACTGTTTCTTTTTTAAAACAAAATCTTAGAGTTATTCTGGGAGAAGCCCCAGGGTAGGATCTAGAGTTACGATTGCAAGGTTGGCCTTATGTCCCGGCTGACTAAATAAATCATTGCCACTGGGCTGAAGGAACCATGCTCTCTCAAGCCTTTAAGTTACCCTTCTGCCACTCCAAGTGAGGTTGGAGGACCCATGTGAGTCAGGAGCTATTTGCTTCTCATCCTCAAGGAGGTTAATACAGAAATGGAGCCAACAGTTGGGGAGCCTTCATAGCAATGTGGCATGGCCACGGCATCCAAGCCCAGGATCATTCGGCTTGTCTTTGGTTCTATTCGATTTTTCTAGCAAATCATTTTTATTGTATTTTGCAGAAGTACCAATTTATGGTGGCTTAGAAATTTGAAAAAGAAAGCCGGCCTTTCACCTTATGTACTAGAGAAATACTGGCTAAAAGAGTCCTCTTTTTCTCCCACCAGGCAAGTCTCTATTCTTCCTTCAGGATTCTACTCAGTCCCTCTGGCCAGAGGCCCTGGCAGCTTGCTGGCCCCCGGCCCCCCTGTACCCACGTTGGCCTCTTAGGACGGTAAGGCCGCTCTGAGGCCAGGTGAGTGCATCCCACAGACGAGGCCCCTTGGTAGCAGACGCAGTGCCTGTCTCTGTGTCTCCCCCAAGGAAGCTGACTCGTAATGTTTGTTAAACCAAACTGAGTCGCATTGAATTTGCTTTGCTCACTGTTCATAAAGCAAGAGCTTGAATCCTGATGTCTGTTTTATTTTTCTTGCTTTATGACTTTGGGCAACTTACTTAATCTCTCTGTGCCACACTTTCCTGTAAAATGGGAATGATCGTTGCACAGTAGAGTTACTGTAAGGATGGCAGAAACTAGGACAGTAAAGCATAGCTGATGCTCAAAAAATACTGACTTTCATTCAATTCCTTTTCCTTTGAACTTCTTGTCCATTAGGGCTACTGAGGGGAGTTTTTTTAAGTTGCGGTAAAATACACATAACAGAATTTGCTCTCTTACCATTTTTAAGTGTACAGTTTAGTAGTGGTAAGTGCATTCACATTGTGCAGCCAATCTCCAGCACTCTTTCCATCTTGCAAAACTGAAACTCTACTCATTAAACAAAAACTCCCCATTGCCCCCTTGCCCCAGCCCCCAAAGCAACCATTGTACTTTCTGTCCTAATGGATTTGACTGCTCTGGGTACTTCATACAGATGGGATCATACAAAATTTGTCTTTTTGTGACTGGCTTCTTTCACTTTGCATAATGTCCTCAAGGTTCATCCATGATGTAGTACTAGTCAGAATTCCCTTCCTTTTTAAGGCAACAATATTGCATTGTATGAATAGACCACGTTTTGTTTATCTGTTCATCTGTCGAGGGACACTTGAGTTGTTTCCTTCTTTTGGCTGTTGTGGATAATGCTGCTATGAACGTGGTTGTACAATGATCTTTGAGACCCTGCTTTCAATTCTTTTGGATCTGTACCCAGAAGTAGAACAGTTGGGTCAGATGGTAATACTATTTTTAATTTTTGAGAAACCCCCATGCTGTTTTCCACGGCAGCTGTACCGTTTCACCAAGAGTAGTGCTAATGAGCTTTTATGTGGTCCTTTGCATTATCTTCAACCGAAAGTACGTCCTTGTAAGACAAAAGGCCAGTAAGGTTTGATTTATTTCCGTCAGACCTGGGTAGACGTAAGTTTCCTTTGACCTTGTTGGTTCCAAGCTGTAACTAGGGCAGTCACTGGCGATAATTTTTTAAGTGTTTCTGGAAGCAATCTATCATCAAATGTCAGAATGAGGTGAAGAATTACCTGAGAGAAACCCTTCCTTGTGTTGTAAATTTTCACTTCATAAACAAAGCAATGGATTGGAAAAGGAGAAACTGGTTTCTTCCATTGGATAGTGAGACAGGTTCTTTCGATCTCTGCGGTGACGTTCACTGGAGGATTTACTCGATCTAGGTTAGAGAATGAGAGGTCAGTGATCAGGGCTGATAAACCCAATCCACTCACATTCCTTAGAAATTCAAAGCAATTCTAATACACATCTTCTCAAGTGTTTACATCAGGATTTGATCAACGAATCTGCAAGCCACAGAACTCCAGTGGCTCACATCTGACCCCTGTCTTGCAGTGCTGAAGGAGAGGGCTTTCCTGTAAACGTCAAGGAGTCCTACTTCAAATGGCATTGAAAGGCTGAATGCCTTTTCCTTCAGTTTATTGCAAGACGCACCTCACTGTCCATTTTTATTTCTCAAGTTGGACCAATCTGGGGGTACACCTGATCCAGGAGGGAAACTGCCCTGAAGCCCCCACTAAGCGCTGCCTCTGTGCTGCAGGTGTGTGACTGAGCTGATCACTTCCCCTTTCCGCACCTCAGTTTTCACTTCATTTTGTTTTGTGTATCTTGTTCTGGTTAGTTGGGAAGATTTTGTTGTCTTGAACATAGAAAGAATGAATGGGGCTAAATTTGTCTTTACTTAAAACTCCATAGTTCTGTCCCCTGAGATATCACTTGATTGTTTTATGGCCATTTGGTGTGGATGGAAATTATTTCTAAGTGAGTATCCTTGTCTTAAGTTCTGTGACTTAGATCTCACCGTTACTGACTCATGGGCACAAGCTAAGAATGGGACCCACTGGCTCCAGAGTCTGCCATTCTCCAAGCCCCACATTTTTCACCAAGAGAGTGTTCATTTCTTTTAGTAATCCGAGGAGTAGGTTTCAATAAAATGAATATCATACAAGAGAATAAAAGCCTGTGGTCTGTACCAGGTCATGTCCATTTTCACATTAATGTCATTGTTTCCCAGGTCCTCGGCATTTATTACCGCCTATTTTTGTGAAAGTGACATTTGTAAGTCATCTCAGAAAGGTACTATTGCAGACACCTGTATAACCTCTTGAGCAAATGATTCTTCAAACAAACTTATACTCCATTTGATACACATATAGATGATAAAAAATAGAAATAGATGTAGATGTTACATGCCAAACCATGTCCTTTAAATAATATTCTGTGTATTTATTGGATACTTATGCCCAGCAAGGTTCTAAACACTTTATGATTACTAACATGCTTAATTATCACAAAGACCTTGTAGGGTATATTAATTTCTTCCCATATTTCAGAGAACAAGACTGAGGCACAGAGAAATGATCAGATTGTCTAAAGTCACTTAGCTAGTCCGCGGAGGAGCCAGGGTCCAAGTTCAGGCAGCCTGGCTCCACAACCCACGCTAATAACCAAGCCACCATCGAAATCTAGCAGGTTAACAACCAGGGACGGTGTGTGAAAGGCTCCTGGTGGGTTTCATCACTACATGTATCTAGGATGAAGGAGAAGACCTTCAGTTTTGAGAACTGAGTAAGTGAGACCTTAAATAACATGCTTAGATCTGAGAATCACACGCTGAGAGACACATCCTAACTCAAGAACATACAGAGGAGACAGTCCGGGGCAGTGGAGGACCATCAGAGGAATGCATGGGAAGCCGGGGCCGGTAGCCTGGGGAAGACAGACCTTAGTTTGGGAAACCGGGCTGCCTTTGGATAGTTCAGAGTCTTGTTGGAGGAGGAATGAGAATTGTCCAGGGGTGGTACCCAGCCATCACAGGACCCATGGGCAGAAATTTCACAAAGGCGGTCAGAGATAAAATAGGCTCATTTCAGCAGTAAGTTCACTTCCCTGGTGCGGTGATCCTCAGCTGGGGGAGATTTTATCCCCACAAGGGCCATTTGGAAATGTCTGGAGACTGTTGTCACAGCTCGGGGGTGAGGAAGGCAGGTGCTACTGGCATCTCGTTGGTAGAGGCCAGAGCTGCTGCTGAAAACCCCGTTGGGCACAGCCCCACCACACAGGGGCCGCCAGCCCCGTCTGTCAGTAGTGCTGAGCTCGAGAAACCTCCACCCCGTGGTACTTAAGCCGGGGCCAGGTGATCACTTAGCATCAGACAAGGAGTCAAACTAGGTGATCTTTGTAACCCCTTCCAGTGCTGAAATCCTGTGATTTGGTTATTGTGGCTTTGAGTCAAGCCTGTCTCACCAATGGCGTGCAGAGCGAAGAGCTGGTCGAGAGGCTTGATGACGGCTTCCTTGCTTGAGCCGTTCACATAGACTGCGAGCGAGCTGCGCCCTTTGCTGTTGATAAAAGTCCTGGGAAACCAGCAGGCTATATTTCTCTGCAGGGTGTCTTTGCTGTATTCTTGGCATTCTTCGGTCCAAGAGCCATACCTACATTGGAACACTTGTAAGTTTTTATGGCTGGAGGAAACAACCCATTCACCAAAGTAAAAGCAGGTACTAACCTATAGTAGAGGAAATACTGCGTATCCTCAGGGGCGTCCTTGCCAACAAGCCAGGTGCAGTGAAGAGAAACTTGGTATGGCCTTAAATGTGTGTAAGTATTAGCCTCTGTGCTTGTGATGCAAGTTAAATTCACAGCTGAGGTTCCAGGACACCCTAGATGGTCAAAAGTAAAAGGGACAAAACATTGCCATGGTAGCTTCTGAATCTTGCACTTCTTTTGAAACTAGTGATGGGGGGCATCTTGTTCATCAAAAAGCACTTGTCATTACACATTTATAGAAACCTGCGACTTGCCCAAGATCCAGTTACTAGGGGACAAAACTAAAATGGCTTAGTCCTATTTCTGACGCCAAAAGCTTTGCAGGTGCTCTGCAGGGAGGATTTTTGTGTGACAGAGATGGATGAAAGTTCACAGCCAGTGCAGTGAGTTGTCATGCGAACCTGGGATCCAGCAAGCTTGGTGTCTCATGTCAGTAACTAGCTGTGACACCTTGTTCCCTAGGGCTCCGGGCCCCAGTTTTCCTAGCTCCTACGTGGTCTAGACACCACATTCTAACGAATGAATTCAGAGATCTTTCTGACACTGCTCTCAGTCACAATTCGGGAAGCGTGGCCTTTTCCGGCAGTGCCATGACAGGAGGAGGGTTTGACAGTCAGCCCCAGGCCAGACTGGCCAAGGCAGTTGTTACCAGGTGCACTCACATGTCCCAGGACCTGGCGGCCTGCTCTCTTTCTTCTTCTTGTGTGTGTAAGTGTATGTGTGTGTGTGTGTATTTCTCCAGGGTTTTCATCACAAGCATCACTAGATCTAAGTATCAGAAACCCATCCTTCCACAGGAGGACAGAATAAGAGACAGTGGGTGGTGCCCTCCTTCCTCCTGGCTCTGAGATTGCTCATCTCGTGTCTTCTGTGAACTGTCAGTGTAGTGTTCTTCAATATGGTTTGAGAGGTCATAGAATTAAAACCAACTCCACACCCATAACAGGGACTACGACATCTGAGGCAGGACCTGCTTGTTATGCTGGGTTCAGTAAAGTCCGAGACATCGCCCTGCCCACAAGGGACTTGCAGTCAAGGATGGGAGGGTAAACATCTATTTACTCGTGAAGGGGAGATAATGTAATGAGGTATTGCCAAATGAGTAGCCCATGGATGAGTGCCGAGGAGGAACAGCATCTTTCAGTGCATAGAATGGGCTTCCCAGAGCAGGTCTGAGTCCATCTGGGCTTTGAAGTATAGGATGGATTCAGAAAAGCAGGCGGAGGAGGTGGGCCCAGGAAGGCAAAGGCTGCGAGGCAGGACTGTGCTGGGGTGTTTAGGTCGTGGCTAGAAATCTACCTGTAAAGAGCAGAGGACTGATGTCGGTGGGGGTGGGGGGGGGTGGAAGGATGTCCTCGAACCCCAGTCTGAGGGCACTGGCCCAGATTTTGTTTCTGACCCTGTGGCTTTTGAACCAGAGCGGGAGAAATATGCGGTGTTTGACACTAGAAATGATAACGCCTTGCTAAGGACATTGATGAGGTAAAAGAATACTGAGCAGGAACTGGTGACTAAAGAAGAAGAACGAAGTGTCATTTTTTGGACTTTCCCATGTTTACAAAATCTGAAATATAAAACTGGGCTTTCAGAGGGCTGCCTTACCTGGTGGGGCTTTGAGTTCCGCAGAAACCCAGCTGCTGGGTGGGAGGGAGTGGTCGTTCCACGGGATGGTCTGCACGCTGGCTGAGAAGCCTTTGTGAAGGATGGTTGTGCGTCTGCTCTCAGTGTTCCTGGTTTCATACTAAAAGTAAAACCCACAGGCTATGTAATGTCACGGGGAGATGGCCTCAGGAGAACTATTCTACTCCAAAGTGCGTTTTCTTCCACCTTTTAAATGGCACATGAACAGAACACAATGAAATCATTTTGCTAGAAAAAAACTCAACCCACTGTTTCCAGGATATGTACTTACCCCTAAACTCATCAAGTTGTACACTTACAGCCTTTTACGCGCCAGTCATACCAAAATAAAGTGCTTTTAAAGAACGAATAAATACGTTACCCAATTCTAGTATCTGTACATGTTTTAAAATATATAATAAAAATATAATAATTCTTCAAGGATACACAAACACACGCCTCTTACTAAAACAAACAAAATATTGCAATTAAGGCTCCAGTTCCCTTTGACCCCATCTCTATTCCAGTCTCTTCCCCAGAGTTAACAAAAGTTAACTTTTTTGTTTGGTGTTTTTTGTTTTGTTTTGTTTTTCTTTGTGTTTTGTTAGGCAGAAGATTCTCTAGAATTTCGTACTGACTGAAAAATATTTAGTACTAACTGCTTCTCCTTTTAATTTTATTGCACATCTGCTAACACCTAATGCTGTAACAAACAGATCCCTGCAGTGTACTTGGGGCTCAGAGAGGTTAAGTGACTGGTCCAAGGTTGCAAAGGCAGGAAGAGACTGAGCTGGGATTCAAACTTGACTTCTTCCATTAGGCACCCTGCCCCCTCCTGTTTTCAGCTATTCTCTTTTGTTCTTTTGTCTGTTTCGGAGGAACTATAAAACCAATATTTAATCCACTGTACCTCAGAAATTACTAAACTTTATTTTTAAGCGGGAGAATTGTCCCAAAGTTATAATGCTGTGTGTCACCATTTAATGCCGGCATGGCGCTGATTCCCAGCCACTTCAGCAGAGACGCTGCTCTGCTGGGAATATGACAAAAAGCCCTTTAGTGGTTTCCTTTTTTTTTTTTTTAACTTAAAATTTCCTTTGATAAGGAAAATGCCATCAAAATTAAAATTTACGCTAAGGATTGCCATCGGAATAAACACTTACGTCTTCTTCTTGTGGAGAGTTTATTTTCACGTGATATCCTAGCTTGACATTTCTTTCCTCTTGATCAGGATTTGGTTCCCAACGTAAAAGAACTTGAGCTAAATCCGTGGTTTTAATGGTGAAATTGACAGGTGGGAGAAGTAAGACTGTTGATCGAAAGTAAAAAGAAGCCACACAACGTTTAATTATACATAGCACTTAAAATTTTTAAAATATTTTATTGTGTGCTATAGTATTTTTTAGGCTATTAGAATGTATAATACTGAAGTAATGTTGGAAAACGTTTCTCTAGAACTGTTTTTAACTTACTATCTTTTTACTTTGCCCAGGTATTTACCTGTAAGAGCTACAGGGGTTTTATTGAAATACGAATATTTTGCTATATCATTATTCAGTATAACCATCATTTTTAAACTAAGGGTTGTTACCATTTATGGGCCATGATAATGTATTAATTTGTGACTAGCAATTTTTTTTCAATGACATGGAAGAAAATGGAACAGAAAATACCAGGTGTATCAAATACAAGAAGCAGTGCTATTTCACAAAACTCTTGTTTCCACTATATCAATGTACTTACATATTTGTATGTGTACATTGGTTCATGATGTAAAATGGATTTGTTTCTTATCGTGATTCAAGGTCAAAAAACTTGTGAGCAAAATTACTCAAATAGGCATTTATAGAAAGAAGAGTTTTTTTCCTCTTAATGAACCACTCTCTAACATCGCCTTCAAAACGAAAGGCGATTTCATTTAAATTACAAAATCAATGCCTATTCTTTTTAGAAATCTTGGAAAGCACAAATGAGCAAAAAAAAAAAAGAAAAGAAAATATTCACCCACAGTTCTACCACTCAGAATGGCATTAACTTGTGATATATTTGTTATCTTTTTTCTTGGGCATATGTTTATACAACTTTTAATTTTTTTTCTAAAATGAGGACAATACTATACAATTATGAAGCCTCCTTTGATTAATTTGTTCCATGATCAGGATGTTTCCACTGACCTTTAATATTTAATAGCCTCCCACGACTCCGCCCCACACTCGTCACATACAGACTTCCAGGGCTCTGTCTGTACTGCGCTGTCCACCATGGTAGCCACCGGCCCCTTGTGGCTATTTACATTTGAACTAATGTGTGTAAAATCGAATGTGCATTGTCTTGGCTTCATGAGCCCCATGTCGAGAGCTCAGTACTCCCTTATCCTTGGACAGTACAGATAAAGAACATCGTCATTATCACAGAAAGTTCTCTTAGGCATCATTGATTGGGGAACCATGTGCCAGTTCTTTTTTTCCTTAAATTCTATCATCCCATCAAGCCCATTGATCAACAACTTTCTGAACCAAAACAAAGTAAAAGCTTGTTATTCTTTGGTTGTGATGATTTGGAAGACATTCCAAATGCTGCCACCAGCTCCAGCCTTATCCTTAGGACCTGTATATGCACACTTGGAATAGGATTTCCCACTGCAGCATAAAATCTGCATTTCAGACAACTTTGCTTTCTTTAAATATGCTATGTTTAAGCTTGTAATCTGATAAGAATCAACAGTCTTTCCCTCTTAAAAAAATCATATATAATTTCTTAATTGAGGTATTAGCCAGGAGAAAATAATGCTATCCTTTCTGTAATGTACTTATTTAAAGAAATATTATTGAATTTAATAGATGGTGCTTACATTTTTTATCAGGAAGTAAGTCTGCTTGCAATGTCACTGTGGCCCCCAAAAGAATCAATAATGCAGGTGCCATGATGATCACATCCTACAGAAAACAGAAAGATGGAAATGCACGTGGCCACTGGTTGTCATTTTTAAGAAAAACCGACAGCTACTTTATAAAGTAAAATGTAGTCTTTTGGCCATTTAACAAAGACTGTGAACCTTTCAGTGACGTGCTATAAATACAAATATGAATCAACCTTGGACTTTGTCTTGCCAGTGTAGATCCAAAATCCGAGGGGCAGGGTGAAATGCAAATCAATCATTGTCATTCCAGTCTAAAAGCTGCTCCAATAACGATGTGTATTGGGTCTAACAGGAGCAAAGAGGCTTCTGAACTGAGTCCTAAAGGATGAACTAGAGTTCTTGGCACACACACGAGGGAGGCAGGCGTTCTTGGTGGCATACACAGACGTGCAAAGCCAGAAGAGAGGAGAGAAAGCAGGAGAGGGTTGGTCTTCAGCAGGAGACCAGAGCAGATCTTTGAGCAGTAAGAGTTCTAGGCACAGTTAATCAGACTGAAAATAAATCCCAGTATCATTTCCACTAATGAGTATTTAAGTATGAGCCGATCTGACAAGAAACTTAAATCTGAAACAATTTTAAAGTGGCAAAGGGAAACTTTGTATCACAAAGCTAGAATAAGTTTGTGGTACTTGGAGCTTTGGAGAGGCTGAATTTTTTGATGAACCCCAAAAGGAACCAGCCATAAAAGGAACTGAAAACATAGTTACAGGCCTTGGAGAAACTGCAAACAATATTTCTATCTACTTGAAATAAGCAGTCAGTGAAAACGAATGCAGAGTAGCAATGTCATAATAACTCAAGTGCGGCAGTCTGGAAAAGTGGCAGGGTCACTTCAGCATCTTTTTTTAACATGTCAGAGAAGAGAGCTGAGGATCTCTTGTCGGGAATTGTGGGTTAGAGATCTTGAGTGTTCCCTCTGAAAATTTTAAGTCACTTCTCATGTGAACTTGAACTTTAGAGAACAAACAATACAAACAGCTTCTACCTGCTATGTGCTGCCGTTGCTCTTACAGAGCAGGTCTTCCTGTTACCTCTCGGGCACTCCCCTCCTCCGCCCACCATGATCTGGTGTGTAGTTATCATCCAATTTACAGTGGTGGAAAGGAGTCTAAAAGGTGAAATCATTTGCCAAGGTTCATGTGGCTGGTAAATAAAGGAACTTAGATCCAATCACGATCTTCCAATTTTTTGTTTTGTTTTGTTTTGTTTGGAGGGGGAGATAATGAGGTTTTTATTTGTGTACTTAGTTTAATGGAGGCACTGGGGACTGAACCCAGGACCTTGTGCATGCTAAGCACGTGCTCTACCACTGAACTATACCCTCCCCCCCAGATCTTCCAATTTTAAAACCTGTGTTTTATACTAATTTAAATGATTTGATTTTCAGTTTAAAAATGTATTTAAGTGGTTTTGTATTTTCCAAACAAAAATTCTGGTAGAACCACAGAGGATAGACATTGGCTAAATGGATACGTTCAGGAAGTACCAAAAACACGCTTCCTTCACTTACACTACTTAACTTACTAGGACTTAACTTACAATGATCACTGCTTAACTTACTACTGAAATTAGTAAAATGTCACAACGTAGAAGACAGAAACAGCATATACATCATTTAATTCCTTTTTCAAATAAACTTAATTATCACTAATCAGAATTATGCCACTTCTGATAAAAATAATTGTTTCCTTCTCTCTGATGCCTTCACACAATATAGAAAAAGAATTTTTAAAACAACGACGACAATAAAAGCAGATATTCAGTTTTTTGTTAAAGTTCCAGTACATGAGAATGTTAAGGAATTCAAGCCTGAGAAGCAGAGATTAAACAAATCTTTAACAAACAACAACAAAGGACCTTCCTCTTCAGGTTAAGAAGGTGATGGCTTTGAAATGTCAGCATTTCCGGAAATAATATCTCATATGTTCTAACTTTAATTGTCATTAATGGGAAATCTAGGTCAGAAAAAAATTCAAAATTGATACTCCTGAGTGACTTTTACTGAGTGGCAAAGTAACTAGTGTGTTATAATCATACTTTTAAGAATAAAAAATGTCTATTTATCCTTTGCCATTAAATTGTGGAAGTAATAAACTATTAAATGTCTCAGTGGGGAGATAATTGAATATTTCATGTAACCAAGGACTCTTCCCTGGAATTTGTTGTGTATTCTGACTTTATAGCTGCGGAAAATAGAATAATTTTTCAAATTTGATCATGCAACATTTTTTCATGATTTTTTTTTTTTTGCTATAAAGCAGCCACACTTTTTTTCACCTTTTATTGTGATATTTTCTGTTCAAAGGGATGATAATTTTGAAAGAAGAATAGCTGTCCTGTAGACAACACAACATACTCAAGTGGGAGTCTAAATATTACCAAGAAAGACATTTTTTTGTGAGCCAGATAAGTTCCCTTCAAGGCTGGGTATTGCTGGAGCTTTGGCAATTGACCCCATATTTTCTATAATTCTGTTTGCTCTGCTGGTTCCCAGAAAGCACCTCCAGCCTTTGCACATGTCCCCTTAAAACTTCTGGTCCCAGACCTGGCAGTCTCCCCTACTGGAAAAACAGCTTGAATCTCTTTGGGCCATCTGTTTAATCCAAAGATATACTATTACATAGATGTCAACCAGGTAATATTTCATTGTACCTAGGCTACGTAACTACCTTAAAAAAATATATCGAAATGGCATGTTCAACTCATTCTTCTCACGGCTACCAATTCAAATCCAGCAGAAAACCATTAAATGGTTAAAATAAGACTCACATTGAGCAAATGAAGCCAATAAGAATTGTCTACCTACAATTGTCAAAAATGTACGCTCAGCTCTGAGACCCTGGGCGCACGACCAGTTCTTGTGACATTTCACAGAGTCGATCTAAAATTCCTCGAGTGCTCTCTGAGAATCTGGCTGTTGGGAGGTGTTACATTCTTTGAAACTTGGGAGAAGACAGGAGCCCAGTCTCTTGCCCTAAAGATGTTTCTAGAAAGTTAGGTGAAGTTCTGTCAATCAGTGATGAATTTCCCCAGGGTTCCGGGGAATTGGTCAAATTCTGCTGAAGTTCAGCCTTTATAAATATTTTCCCCACTTTTTTTCTTTTCAACTTATTTTGCTGTCTGGGGCATTTGTTTTATAACCAAAGTTGTATTTGCCTTTTTTAAAGAGACTTTTTGAGTCATCTGTGGTGACAACTAATTCCAGACTTAACCTCAGTGCACAGAAATTAAAAAGCTACTGAGAGGATTCATGCTCTGTTAAACCCTTAAAAAGTAGAGTTTACTTTTTGCTTCCTCTTTTTTTTTCCCTATACAGTGTAATCAGCAGTAAAACCTCTACCTCTTGGGGGATGAAGAATAAATAAATAAACCAAGGTGTAAAATGCGAATGACATGTTTAGCTAGGTACATTATCCCCAAGTGAAAAACTCTGCACACTCCCCAAAATATAAATGAGTAAGAAGGACCATATATAAGACATGCAATTTTTTTTTCTACCTCTGATTAGTTTTCTGAAATAGTCCTAAAATATAACTCCGGAATTCAAACGGTTACTGCAGATATAAATACTCTTATCCAAGGTCAAAATAGTGCTGCCACCCTGAGTATTTGGAAAATGCTGGAAGGAGTTTGCTGCAAATCTCCCAGTGGTTAAGTGTCTTCCACCGAACTGCAGGTAGTGCAGTATGTCATCCCACGTCCACGCTCCCCTGTTCCTGGGCATACCTGTCTCCTGTGATCCTCTTGCTTCCAACGGCTGTATTCAACAGGGAGTCAGGACCACGTCCATCATGTCCTGGCCTGGGGCTATGGCACCTAGCACAGTGTCAGGCACTGGGCAGCTGCCACATATGCCTGACCCTGTATAGAATAAAGGCAAGTTAATACACAACCCTTAACAAGTCAAGCCAGGTAGGGTAAAACCTAGCAGAAGGACATGTTAGATCAGAGCACAGCAGGCTGGAAACATGTAACAAGCCTGGTCTGTCGGAGGGGAGGTATGATACTTTTGGTACCTTGCCTAAAAATTTCCCCAAGCAGCATTTCAATAATGAAAGCAAATGAGGTGATTTGATTTCCAAAACTTTGTTTTAAATGCAAACTTTTAACAATAGCTATATACATTAACATATTTTTCAATAACTGTGAAAGAGGGCATACTCTTTCACAAGAAATAGAAATTGTATCAGGTAGTGGAATTTTCAGCATGATAATTCATTAAATTGAGTATCAAATACATTAATCAGTATGGCTATAAAAGCAGTCAGTTTTTTGTGTTAATTTTAGGCTCATGGAATATTAAGAGACTTTGATTTTTCTTTCTTTCTCTCTTTTTTTTTTCATTCCATCCATTTCTTCTGTATATGTAAAAATATGTTTACATTGCTCTGCTTGAGTAATTGGATTAGGGATCACAAAAGCGACATGATTCAGATTTTTCTACATTTTACATAAAACTAAACAATTCTGAAAATACCAGAACCCCTAGAAGAAACAAAAAGCAGAATGCCTTCAGTTAGATGCCATGCAGTCATCTTTTTTTTGTTGTTGTTATTTCTTAATTTGTAGTTTTCCTAGTTAACTCTGAAACTTCTTCATCAAGGTATTTTGTTACATCCTATGCCCTGTTTTCTAAATTCACAGAAATCCTCAGCAATCTTGGCAGGATATATGTTCTCATTTAATTGCCAGAATTTCTGCAGCAGTGGGAGGAAAGGAGTCTCTTATATCAGCATCAGCCAAAACTGCAGGTCTTCTTTTAATGTGGCCCCCCGGTGACACGATGTGCACACCTCAGCTACGGAGCCAGCACACAAGAGTAGAATGCTGTCCCCAAAATCCATATGACCTGCTTGATCCGTCTTTACAGCACCATTATTAGTTCTGCCCCTGCTAATAATAGAGTTGTAAGGAGTTTTGTTTCCCCTTTTTCTTTATTTAAAAGTTTGCCATGTATTTAGAAATCATTCTCTCTCACTTTTCCTCTCCCGCCCCTCCGGCCCCATGTAATGAAATTGTTAGAGGTGGAACACAGAGTATCGTTACAGAGAAAGAGGCATTTGCTCACTTTGCGATGAAATCAGCCTGGGATCCCCACTTACTGAGAGGTGCAGGGGCCACGCCATCAGCAGCAGCCGCAGGGCATGAAAATGAACCTTATCTCTCTTGGTGCACTTGTTGACTTAGAGGCGGGTCTTCTTCACTGTTTCATCATTGCAGCTGTAATGGTTAAAAACTTAGAGCCGGTTTCCTTTGCGATGGGAAGGCAACAGGGCTTGTCTAAGCAAATATCAAGGAGCATTTGTAAACGGGCAATTAAGAATCGGCCTTCAGCAAAACTCCCAAGGAGCAAACTGCTGTCGAGTGAAAGGATCTCTCATGTCCTGATAGCCACTATCTGATGAACTGTCTCAACTGCAGTTTCATTCTCTGGAAATGTTTTGCTCTTTTCAGGAGTTGAAAATAACATTTGCTCCTGGGTGGCAAGGTAATCGAGTTTTCTGCCGGTGTTTTAAAGCACTACATTTCTGTTTTGTGTGTGTGTGCCTTAGCCGTTCTCTGCTTTGTTAGCAGGTCCTGCGCCCTCAGGTAAATGTGTGCTGGGGGAAGGGCAGGGGAGGGAGAGTTTCGGGATGTGACCAGTAGCTGGTGTCATAGCCTGGACCCGTGCTATACCAACTACAACAGTAGCTGTGTTGTTCTGCGCTCCGCAAGGACCTTCTCTCTCCTGTCATCTCTGGGTTCCCAGTGTAGCACCTCAGCTGTCCTCTCCTCGGTATGCTTCAATTTAAGTAAACCTCGTTGGGTTTTCCTGTCCTCTGTTCCAGTTTGGCCTGCGGAATTTCCAGGCGACTGACTCACAAAGCTGACTTTGAAAAAAAGATGTTGCCCATGGTGTGAATAGATAAGAGTGGAGCCTAAAGTATCTGAGCTGGGTGCTAGTCTTTGCCTTTGAAAGGGTTCCTGCAGGCTTAGTCCCAGGAGGGTGAGTGATGGCAGCCCCGGAGAAAGCCAGTGCAGAAGTGGAAACAGAGGGGCCCAGGTCCCCAGAGAGCAGGTGCAGAGAGAGGCGATGGCCAGATGAGATCAGGGTTCAGTTTGCAAGATGACACATGATGGGCACTCTGGAGACTTCCTGGAAGGCTCAGTGTTAAGTTGTGCACAAGAATGGCTAGTGGGCTTCCCAAGGTAATCATGTTAGCCGTTGCCAAAATGAAATTGGATCAGTTGTTATCAGATGACCTGAAAAAAATGTGATTTTCCTTGGAGAAAGAGAAGGTTGAAGAGGGAACACAGAGAGAGCTGTCTATTTGCTATGAAGCACCCAGAAATGTGTAGATATAACGTCAGCCATCTGGTCTACTCTTTAAAGTCCTACATCTAATTTTAGATGTAGCATGTCTGTCACTATAGAAACCTTAAAAATAGTTATTAATCACTGTGGACCAATAACTTTCTGGCCTGAATGTCTGTTTTAACATTATCTTTATTATTAATTTATTTTTATATTCATTTATTTCATAAATATTTATTAAGTTCACCTATGCACTATGCCAGGCACTGTTGTAGATATAAAGCAAATTAGGCCTGGCTACGACCCTGGCTACCATCATCCTAGGTATATGATACTTTATCAACTATGCCAGTACTAAAAACAAAAACAAATGTGCTCACAGTTTTGTCTGCACGCCCTATTTCCAAATAAGCCCAAAGGCAAATTATAGAAGCAGGGCTTAGTATAGTTTATTTTTTGTTGCAACAGCTTTCTTCTTTAGAATAAACTGTAAATGTCCAAAGGCAGTATAATGGAGCACACTGAAGAATTCACAAAAATGTTTTTTTTTGAAAAGTGCTATCAAATTTGCCTGTATCTCTTAAGAAACAAAACACAATCTGGGTTTAGCCAAAGAGCAGAGGTGAAAATATGAATAATAATGACCTGGAAATCGGGATTCAGTGGCTCTACCTTGGAATCCAGTTAAAGGAGCTTATTGAATGTCTTTACTTCTAGGAATCCATTCCATGGAAATCACATGAAACGTAGGCCCAAATTTATGTGAGACAGGGCGAGTGAGTGCAGTTCGTTGTACTTCCACTTGTAATAGTGAAAGTAACATAGAAATGGCTGAGAGAGGCGTATAAATTATAAAGGTTGAAATACTGGGATCACTACAGGGAACGTTCATCAAAAACTTATAAACGGTGTTACAGAGAAATGTTAAGTAAAACCGAGGAATATAAATAGTCACATATAAATACGTGATTTTTTTTCATAATTGTGTTTTTTATCAAAACACCACACTGATAGGGGTGGTTATCTCTCAGTGGTAGGTGTAATTAGTTAGCTGTTGCTACACAACCGCCAACCGCAGACACCGTGGTGGGAAACAGTGATAAGCATTTATTTCTTGCCCAAGCATCTGAGTTTTGACTGGAGTTTGGCTAAATTTGGATGGGCTCTGGATCACAGAGAAGGTTCAGGTTTGTTCCAAGCATTTGTTGTTCACACGAAACCAGCGGTGACTACACAGGACGTGTTTCTTCTCACGTGATCGCAAAAGTGTAAGAAAGCGAGACCTACTGTGCAAGCGCATTTCAAGTATCTGCTTTCGTCACGTTCACTGACATCCCGAGAGTGTGAGCAAACTGCATGGCGGCCAAGGCCGGGGTCAAAGGGACCACGGCCGCAGCACACGCGCCCCACCTTGATCAGGCCGTGTCAAGGCTGTGCCTGTGCACAAGCCCTGGAGAGGGATGAAGAGCTGGAACCAGTAGCTTATTCTACCACAGTGGGATTATTTGCTTTAAATTTATTCTTATGCTTCTTTATATACAAATGTTTTATTCTATACAAGTGCAGGAGTAAAAAGATATTTTAAAATATTAGAGACATAGAGATCAATGGAACAAAATTGAAAGTCGAGAAATAAACTCTCACATTTATGGTCATTTGATGTTTTGATAAGGATGCCAAGATAGTTCAATGGGGAGAAAATCAGTCTTTTCAATAAATGGTGTCTTTGCACATGTGAAAGAATGATATTCAACCCTTTCCTCATACCATGTACAAAAATTAACTCCAGAGGGACCAAAGACCTAACCGTGAGCTGAACCTAGAAAATTCTTAGAAGGAAACACCTACGTAAATCTTTGTGACTTTGGATGAGGCAGTGATTCCTTAACTATGACACAGAAAATAGGCAATGAAAGAAAAAAAGATAAATCGGACTTCAGCAAAATTAAAAGCCTTTGTGCTACAAAGGACAGCAGCAAGAAAGTGAAGAGACGACCCACCAAATGGAAGAAAAAAATTGCAAATCAAATATCTGATAAGGAACTTGTATCCAGAAAAAATAGAAAAGATTCTTACAATTCAACAATGAGAAAAACAACCCAATTTAAAAATGCGTGAAGGATTTGAACAGAAATGTCTCCAGAGTAGGTACCAATAGCCAATATGCAGATAAAAAACAGCCCAACATCATGACCTGTCAGAAAAATGCGAATCCAAACCACCATGAAATACTTCACACCCACTAGGAGGCCTAAAATAACAAAGATAGACAAGAACAGTGTTGGTGGGAATGCTGAAACACTGGAAGCCTCATGGACTGTTGGCGGCAATGTAAAATGGTGCAGCCACTTTGGCAAACAGTCTGGTACTTAAAAATGTTAATCATACAGTTGCTATATGACCCAGCAGTTCCACTGCTAGGCAAATACCCAAGAGAATTGAAAACATACATTTATACAGAAATTTATATGTGACTGTT